AAAAAAAATAAAAAAGAATGCACTTAAAAATAATCCTTAATACATCTTTTGTCAGCTGTGCCTGACTAGATGCCTAATACCTTCTTTTTGCTGTTAATAAAACTACACTATTAAAAGCAGAACATTTACTAGTATATGATAAAATGTCCCCCAAAATGCATCAAAGACAATGCCTTGAACTTCACTTAGTTAGGATTAATTCCTCCTTCTCAGATGTTGACATACGCTTTCAAGTCTGTAAAATGTACAATTATAAACAATTATTTCACAAATCACAAAATAAAATTATTGATTTATCTATATATAAAACTCTCAAGTGTCCTTAGTCTGACAGGTCTTTTCCTTTTTTTTTTTTTTTTTAATAATTTTATTTGTTTATTTTTTCCCCCAAAGCCCCAGTAGACAGTTGTGTGCCACAGTTGCACATCCTTCCAGCCGCTGCACGTGGGACGTGGCCCCAGCATGGCCGGAGAAGCGGTGCGTCGGCGCGCGCCCGGGATCCGAACCCGAGCCGCCAGCAGCGGAGCGTGCACACCCAACCGCCAAGCCACCGGGCCAGCCCTGACAGGTCTTTTTCAAACATTGAGAGATGATCTAGAAAGATGAAATTTGGCAAGAGTATATAGTTTTTGTTTGAGGTCAAAAGGAAAAATCCTGAAATATCTAATTTTCGGTTTTATGTAGGATTCCCTTTGTCATGCCAGTTCCATGTAATTTTAGCTCCAGAAAGAGGGTGTGCCTTTAAGTGAAAGAATAACAAATAATTATTCATCATTTAATTAGTCTCAGAATATGAGAAAGTAGTTGACTTTAATGATTGGATAACTATTCCTTTTAGTGGTTCCCAATTTTTTGTTAAAAGAAAAAAACTGAGTAGTCATCTGATCAGTCTTTAAAAATAATTTACAGTGAGATCACTATGTGATTTTGGCATATAACTTGGAAGGAGTCCAAGGAACTAAGTGACATCACTACAACATTCTCTGGCACAGAAAGCTAAGACTGCCATCAGTACTAACTCTGAGACCAGACATCTTAGTATGAAAAATGATTTAGTTTAGAAACTAATGGCACATTTTACGGATTCTAACTAGTCCAAGTACATCAAAAAAAGTATAACGCTTTTATTTCTTAACAGAGGTAGGTTTGCCAACTGTTTTACAAAAAACTAGGAGAACCTCTACTGTCTGGGAAGGCATGCTCAATCTGAAAGTCTATTGCCTCTGAAATAATCTATTAAGTAAGAAATTTGGGACTTGACCCAGGTGTTCAGGGTAAAGCATCATGGGAGAGGCATCTGAAAAAAAACAAGCTTTGGGGCTGGCTGAGTGGCATAGCAGTTAAGTTCAGCGTGCTTTGCTTCAGTGGCTTGGAGTTCCCAGGTTCAGATCCTGGGTGCGGACTTACACCACTCAACAAGCCATGCTGTGGTGGCGTCCCACATAGACAAAATAGAGGAAGATGGGCACAGATGTTAGCTCAGGGACACTCTTCCTCAAGCAAAAACAGGAAGATTGGCAATAGATGTTAGCTCAGGGCCAGTCCTTCTGACCAAAAAAAAAAAAACAAGCTTCTAAATTTTCAGAGCTAAGGAGGGGACTTCACATTTAGCTTAATTGGGAAGTATGCTAATAAGATGTAGATGAATTATTCTGCCTTTTGGAATGTGATTAAGATCTGTGGAATGAGACCCAAAGAAGGAAGGCATATTAGTGGCTAAAAGTAACCAAGGCTAACTGATTCAAGGATGAAAGGCTAGGGTGGATTTGAGAAGATTAGAGCTGGCTTTTAGCTATATTTCAAAGTAGAGCTCTACAACCAAAGTTCCCCAATTGTTGAAGATGAATTTGCCCTTCTTCAGGTCTACGGCACTGTAACAGGGCTTTTAGGGCTTGACCCCACCCAGGCTCTGGTGGTAGTATTTGCTTCCATCAGATGGATTGCTGAAACTCAAAAACTCATCTCTGTAGTTCTGAACCACTCCATGACAGAGAACGGAAATGTCTTGTTTGGTAATAACATCGCCATATGATCTTTTACAATGATTACACTATAAAGGAATTTTTCAGTGATTTCACTATATCCATTTTGTTAACAAATTTGATGCTCACAAAAACTATATGAAGTAGGCAAGGCAGATACTCAGACCGTATGATTCCATTATATAAATTTCAAAACAAGTGAACTAATCTATTGTATTAGAAGCTATTATGGTGGTTACCTTCGAGAAGAAGAAAGAGAAAAGTGGCTGGGAGGAAGCATGAAGGGACCTTCTGGAGGTGCTGATAATGTCTTGACTTGGGTGATGATTACATATGTGTGCTTATTAAATAATTCATTGATCTGTATCCTGATCTGTGCATTTTCTCTAAGCATGTTACACTTCAATACAAAGTTCACTATTTTTAAAAATGCCATGGTCTTAATCACTGCATCATAGCTGCCCATAAATAGTATTTAACAGACATATAGAGCCAAAAAAAGGCAGTAAAAATACTGAATGTATTAAAAAAAGAAAACCACTCATTGTGAATGCAAAATTACCTCTTTTTTTTTTTTTTATTGGTGAGGAAGATTCACCCTGAGCTAATGTCCGTGCCAACCTTCCTCTGTTTTGTATGTGGGTTGCTGCCACAGCATGGCTGACGAGTGGTGTAGGTCCACACCCAGGATCCAAACCTGTGAACCCCAGGCCGCTGAAGTGGAGCAGGTCGAACTTAACCACTACACCATGGGGCCGGCCACAAAATTACCTTCTTTTTAATTCAACTACTTTCACTTATTTCACACTCATCTAAAATCTAAACTAAGAAATAAGAAAAAAAGATTTAAATATATAAAAGGAAACAAAAACCTTTACACTACAGTTCAGAATATAGCATTTTCTCCTTACTGTCATCCATATTCTTCACTCTATTGTTTCTCCCCTCTGATTTTTTCTTATTTTCCACAATTCTTCTCTACCTTCTTTCCCACCTCCTCTAATCCTCCAACATCTTTTCCTAGGTAGCTGCAGATTATGAAACGAGCATAGTGGGAGGCTTCCTGGGTCAGCTTAGGACAAATGCAGCTCTCTCACATCACTTATTTTCTCTTCTTGTCCTCAAATTCCATAGCTTTTTCTGCTATCTCTTTTTCTCATATCTCTCCCTCTTGTTTCTACCTACATTTTTCTTCCTAACTATACCCCCAGAATCCACCTTAAACATACATAATAGTAAAAGGTCATTAACCAATGTTTATTCCCATAAAATTATGTTTTCCTATATAAACAGGATTGAAACTATAAACATGGTGTTACAGGTATGGCTGTACAGATGGAAATATAGCCAGCAGTCTTCTCTATGACAAATACTGATGAAGTGATGCTTTTGCCTATCTTTGTGATTCTCCATACTTCAAAACTATGCATTGGTTTTCAGTCCTTTTTCTGGCCCCAAACACCTGAGGGAGATGACATTCCCATCTCTAACAGTCGTGTGATGGTTAAATTTATGTGCCAATTTGGCTGGGCATAGTGCCCAGATATTTGGTCAAATATTATTCTGGATGTTTCTGTGAAGGTGTTTTTTGGATGAGATTAACATTTAAATCAGTGGTCCATAATGTGAAGCCATAATGTGGTGGGCCTCATCCAATCAGCTGAAGGCCTTAATAGAACAAAGACTGATCTCCCCTGAGCAAGAAGGGATTCTGCCAGCAGACTGCCTTTGGACTTGAACTGCAACTCTTCCCTAGGTCTCCAGCCTGCCAGCCTACCCTACAGATTTCAGACTTACTAAGTGTCCACAATCACATGAGCCAATCCCTTAAAATAAATCTCCCCCCTCCTCTCTATACACACACAAATACACACATCCTTTTGGCTCTGTTTCTGTTTTTCTGGAGAACCCTGACTAATACAAGTAGCTAAGGTAGTGATGCTCAGCTAGAGATGAGGGGAGGTGGGGTCTACAGAAAGAGCAGAGGGGTTGGGGATGCTAGATAATTTTGAAAAGGCCTGGTGCAGACTTTGCGGAATACCTACTCACAAGTCATTCACTCACCTTCCTCTGTTACAGAGGCTAGAATGCTAAAATGAATTTTCCAGCTTCCCTTGCAACTAAGGGCAAGGTAAAATTTTACCAACTAAGGGGTCACCATGTGACAGAGTTGTGGCCAAAATTCTTGATAAGGGCTTCCTTCCTAAATAAAAAGCTAAATTCACTAGGAGAAAGCACTGTGCTCTAACTGTTCTCCCTGCCTAGACTACTAAGGATTCAGAAGTAACAACAGTACCTGGGAGAGCTGATCTTCAGCTCTACTACTGCGGCCACCATTCCTCAGTGTTCCGCGCATGATATCCTAAATAAGAGTGCAAGTAGAATCTGGCTTCTTAGGCCACTCTGTATTGAAAGCTGAGAATCTTAACCTACTTCATCTAAGTGTTTTTATACATGGAACTTAAAAAAACATAGTTGTACTCAGTCTCCACTGAGGCTACCTAAGGTCAAACTCTGCAATGGGAGGGACTTGGACTAGAAAAATTTCCCAAACGTAATGACTATGAAGCATTGACGATTATAACTATGAATTACTAAGGAAGGCTGTAGGATATCCTTTAAAGAGTCTTTGAAAATATGGCCTGAATTATTTTATGGCATTCCACTTTAAAGATAGGAGCTAGAATAAGCAGTGCTTATACATCACTTGCATTCTGTGAATTTAAAATTTTACCTCAGCACACTTTTAAATTTGTTACAACAGAGAACCAAAGAGTGTTACATAAAATCATGGTGTAAGAAAACCTCACTAACAAATCATTAAGAAGAAACTTATTAGCCAAGTTGATGAAAAACATAAATGAAGTGCCAATTTATCTAACAAATTTTTAAGTCAACAGTGTCATAACCTCTAAGGCTACCAATGATGCAACTCAAAAAATATTATTTTCTCCAGACCTACCCATAAAAAGAAAAATCAAGTGCTTTCAAATAATGACTTCAAAAGTCTGTGTTTACCTTTTTTTTCCCCAGTGTAGGGCACATAGTCTTCCCTGTCCTTATGCTCTAACGCTTCCTTCTCCAGATACGAAAGGAGGTGCTCTCTATCAAACGGCCCCGTGGCGGACTTGGATGTCTGGTTCTTCTGCCGGAATCCTGCAGGCAGAAGGGCATTCTGCCAGAGAGAATGAATCAGCCATTACGACCACCAAGAATGCCAACGCTATAGGCTTTCACAGATTACCCATATAAGAAAGAATTATCGACTAGAAAGTGATACAGGCATTAAACAATTTGTCACAGGATTTTAGGGCAGTTATGTAAAAGTGTTCCAAACAAAGTTTTTTTATTAGGTAGAATTCACTTATATTATAAAAACAGGCACATACACATTTTCTTCAGAAAGTATTCTACTAGGAGGAAACACTCTTTACTTTTTAAATGTCTTGGGATGGTAATAAATATTTTTCTTAATGCTTAATAACTGCTCAGCATATATGTGTACACAGAAAATAATTCTATTACAAAGAATGCTAAATGACCGTATATATCATATTCCTTCATAATGACTTCTATTTCACTGTCAAGACTTTCTCATGATAAAAACACGCATACCATACAGTAGGATATCAGGAGATTAACATTTACTTGTTTGTCTTTAAATACAATGTGAAAGGTTCAACTTCTGTGTGTATGTACGTATATACACATCAGCGCTAGGACGTATTTGCAGCAACCACTTTATTATTCATGCACCAAGGCACCCCAAGATACTCACAGCAAGAGCTGTCTCTGGGTTTCCACGTGGGTACAGTCTTTTTTGAGTGCATGGACTGACTGAGAGTGGGGCAATGGTGGGAAGCAATGGATTAAAGTTGTCTCCTGTAGTCCCTACTCTGTATTTTCACTAAGCCCGGGAATGACAAGCAGTGACTAGACAATGTGAGCTCCATCCTTTCGTTAAAAGCCAAAGAAGTGATATTGCCTTGTCTCACTATTCCTGAGTATTCTTTTGCTTTGAAAATGGGAGGCAGCCAGAGAAGGCACACAAAAGGGCCAACTCTCTTTTGCAATACCTCCCAATATTGGCAGTGATGCTCAATCTCATGGATGTTACAATTTTTTATTACAAAAGGAGATTTTATATAAATAATGATAATAGGAAATATTCATTTTATAACTAGAAAATCTAGCACTTCAACTTTGGCCATTTGCTAAGATCCATAGTAATTTTCATAAAACTCACCTTTGTGTTCTTCTCAAGTAATAGTATGCATTACACAGAAAGCTCACCTATAAAGATTAAACACAAAGGAGGTCTGTTCCTAACCCTGCATCAAGAATGTTTTTGTTACACAGAATTGTCTATGGGAACATAAAAAAGAGACATAAGATTTCTACCCACAGACTTTGAAATCAAGACAAGAACTACACGTGAAGAATTGATTCCCAATCAACCATCAAGTCCTATCCATTTTACTTCCCAAAAAACTCACTAGTCTGTTTACTTGTCTTCATCTCCAACACCATACTTTGGTCCAAACTATGATCCAAGCTGGCATGGAATGTTACATTAGCCTCTCAAGTGGTCTCCTTGGATCAGTTGCCTGATACTCTGCATCTCTCACTCCCACCCCACAATCTGTTATCCTAGCCTCATCTCACTCACCCTCTCCATTCTAGCCACACTCACCTTTGTTCCTCCCTTGTACTTGCCATATACCTCTTTCAACCACAAGGCCTTCCCTGGAATGCTAGGCTCATACTTTTTTGCTACGCATTTTTCAGACCGCAGCTCCATTCCCGCAAGGGAGGCTTTTCCTGACCTCCCATTATATGCTCTTATATTAATATGGCATGATTATTTGATTAATGTCTAACTCGCCCCACTCCTACCAGCTGCATCATGAGGGCAAAGACCACATTTGTTTTGCTCATTCTTGTATCCCTAAGCCTAACATAGTACCTGGGCTCTATAGGTTGCCCCCCAAATATTTATTGAATAAATATTTGAGAATGCTTTTAAAGAAAAATTCTCATTAAGGCAAATTAATAAGTTACTTTCCTTCATCATCAATAAGGCACATGTGTACACACCGCTATTCCACAGCAGCAGTGTCGGAGCTGCACTCTTCCACCCCCTCACTCAAGCCCAAGGGAAATGTACAGGTTTTAAATGATATGTTAGCTGGAATTCTGGCTCCTTAAATACAGTTTCTGACCACAAAATAAATGACAGCTAACTGGCTTTGGAGGCTATAAACCCATGAATCAAGCTTTATTAGAAGTACACTTCAATTAAGTAAGTTAATGGATCTCAACTACTTAAACAGATAAAAATCTCATTTAAATGATTGCCACTAAAAAGTACATGTTTCTCCCTTGCAGTGGAATTTTGATGTAATAATATATCCCCAGGCTTGGAAATGAAAAAATAGCTTTGCCTAGGCTGACTGGCTGTCTTTTGGAGATTGATGCTTTGAGAAAATGCAGTCAGTTAGCAAATAAATATACTGAGTGCAGCATAAGGAAAGTACAATAGCCCTACGAAATACAACAAGGCACCATAAACAACATTCCTCTGCTCTTCTCTTATCTCCCTTCTGAGACTGTAAACACAATGGTGCTTCTCTGGCTGAAGCAGCTGCTACCCTTGCCTCTTGTCTTTCCTGGTCCCTTACTAGCATGCTTTCCAAAAACTTCACCTAACAAGTGGCACACTGTCCATAAACATCACCCTTCTTCCAGCCTCAACTAGGAGTATCTGAGGTTGGGGGAGTTGCAGCTGGGGTTGGGGAGCCAGCAAAATATATCCAGAGGTTAGAACGTGAGCCTCCCCACACAAGAAGCAGGCCATGGATTTGCACATAAGAAAATATACAGCACCAGTTTTTAGATCCATAGCATAGCACTTGTGTTAATAGGGGACTCACTGTAGTTTAACAGAGAGACCACTAGACTCTGCCAGGGATCAATAAGGCAGTGAGGGATCTAGTCTCAATTCTTTCCCTAATTGTAATAACTGACGCAAGTCACCTAAATTTGCTTTCCACCTGTAAAACAAAAAGCAAGTGCTTGATCAATGTTTCTCAACTAGGGGTGTTCCCCCAGGGGACAACTGGCAACGTCTGGAAACATTTTTGCTTGTCACAACTGGGGGGAGAGGGTATTAATCATGTTTTTTATTTTCTGTATTTTACGACGCTTTGACATCTTGAGGGCCTTGCTAATCTTGGAAAGACTGCCCCTCCCAGATTAGCTAATTCCTAAGGATAGCAAACAACCCCCCCTCACCACTAGTGTGCCTTTTACATGAAAACTAACCAATCCAGAGCCCATACCCCCAACCACCTCCTTTATCTCTCACATACCAAGCCAACATTTGCCCTGCCCTAAATCACCCAGGGCCAGGTACTGGACAACTAGAGACTCCTCCTGTAGCCTAGAGCCCACTGAAATTATTTAAGCCATCCAATACTAAATTTGCTCAGACTTGCCTATCCTGCTTCGCCCATTCCTTCCCTCAGAAACCACAATCAGGGTTCTGGGCCATGCTTACTCCTCACTCCTTCTGCCTCTGGACCAACCTTGGTGCTTCCCCATGTGGCCCTGTGTGCATGGTGTGCTTCCTACTCTTGGGAACCATAAGTAATAAACTCTTCTTTCAAGGCAGTTGTCTCCATGTCTGTAATCCTACCATACCTGATTAAAACAAAATCCCAGGTACATTTTAAAACAGGGGGGTGTAGTGAGTAGGGCCAGGGATGCTGCTAAACAATCCACAATGCACAGGATGCCCCCTACAACAAAGAATTATCCAGCCCCAAATGTCAAAAGCGCCAAGGTTGAGAAACTCTGGAATAGATGAGCTCTTATGCTCCTCCCAGTTCTACAACCACTGGATTCAAATAGGTCTAATAGGTTGAACTGCCAGTAGAAGATATTGCTGTGACAGGATCAAAACAGCATTGTTATTCTGAGTTATCCCCCAGACTTAGGTGTACTGAAAACTTTTCCTTATAATAACAATCACAGTTAAGGGTTTTGATCTATGGTACAGACACATGATCCAAGTGCTAAAGTAATGCTGAGAATAGGAGTATAATTCTCAACAAAAATTCAAAAAACTTTCCAGCAGGAAATAAATGTGTAGTAGTAACAAAAATAATTTTAAAAAATAAACTCTAGCTCAATCCTTAAAAGGCACTAAAAATCAGTGGCTCGGCATAAAGAAACATGTGGTAAAGAAAAGAAGGCTAGCAAATAACCATTACCTTCAGGTTAAGTAGCCATAACCTTAGAGTTCTCTCCTAACTGCCTCCCCCGGACCCACGACCATACATACCAGAGAATAACAATTCAAGGGTCAAACAGAAAGTTATTCAGTTCGGTCAGCATCTTTCAGAAAGGTAATAATTAGATTTAAGGCCACAAAGAACTTTCTAGAGACATTCTACACTGTAGCCATCATGGTATATATAGAAGCTCCGAAGAGGCACACACACAAAGAGCTAACCATCTGCTGCATTTTACTAAAAGCACTCCTCCTTGCCCAGAGAGAAAAGATTTCTTACAGGGCAGAAAATTTCTGGAGATGTTTGAAAATAAGGATGTTGGAGAAAATAGTTTAGAACAGGCATGTCAGTAGAGGTACAGAGGCAGAAGTGGGGGAACTGGAGAGGAAGAAAAAGTTCATCTGGATAAAGAGGAGGAGGGGATGGGGGTGCCAGGGAAAAGTCAGGAAAAAGCTAACTGCTCAAAGGGAGCTACTTAGTTTCAAAGGGTTTGAAAAGTTATTTCCTTTCTCGGCATTAGCTAGCACCTACCTCAGGGTCAAGATCATCCAGAACAGTTTCCAGTTGTTTCAGTTCTATTTCTGAGAGATTGCCAAGGAGCTCATCTTCATCGAGGTCCTTGTACTTTTCTAAGTCCTTCCGGAATGGTAGTGCCATGATTTGCAGTGTAGGAAGTCACCTAATTTTCTATATTCAGTACAGTCAGAAGTGCTTACTGTTTCTTAAAGCTATGGAGAGAAGAAACAAACATATTTAAATATTAAGTCATCACCCCCTACTTAGATCTATTAGGTTACATAAAATGTAATTTCCATGTGTCATATATTCTTTGGCTATATATCCATACTACCTTTGTCTATGGATCATTCAACCCCTTTACCTTTTGTCTTTTGTTGACCCCCCCCCAAAAAAATCAATTGAGGAAAAATGGGGGAGGAGGGAATAAAATTCAAATCCATTAGAACAACTACTTCACAGAACTGAGAATTTCTGATATATGAGTTTTAGGAGGAAAGAAACTATAATATGTGTTTTTAAAGGAAAAAATATGGCATTCTGAAAATGTTTCAGTGAAAGACTTGAAGCCATGCTGGGAGATGTCCCCCATTGATTGGCAATGTTGGTCAGGAGGGTCTGATTACAGGAAAGGACCTTCCCCATTCCATGTGGCCCTCTTCCACACAGCTATGAGATGACTCGACAAGCAGCATTTTTCCAGATAGAGCAGGACTGTTGTACAGGAAAGGATACTTAAAATAAGTCCTACCAAAAGTGTGAAGTAAAAATAAAGTATTTCTATAAATTCTAGCCATATATGTGAGTTATTTGTTTCATAAAATGTTCTCATGTGAACAAGAAATAATCCTTAGACCTAGTGATTTGGCTCAATATTTTTTGGTTGCAAAGCACCCAGTACTTCCAATATTTCTTTTACTACCCCCTTCTCCCAAGTTTTCCCAACTTAATATTTTAACACATATTTTCCTCCTCAAACCAGTAACATTTTATGGATCCTTTTATGTGTTTTCATCTCCTTAGAAGAAAGACAGGCTCACCATAGGGGTCTGTCAGCTAGTGATCTATCGACCACCTGGGTCCAATAATAAGCAAATTAACAGAATTGTGCTTATGCAGATGCTAATTGCAGGTATTTTGTGTAACTGCCCAAGACAGGTCTGGCTTACACCTGTTCTACATGGCATCTCATCTGGTTTAGCAATTATCCTGGATTTTTAGGTTTTTTTTTTTTTTGACAACTTATCATTGTCATTATTTAGTCTGGTAAACCCCCACTTTTTACTTCCAACTTTAGGACAGTAAGTTTACCAAGTATCCTGAGAGTGTATTTTTTCAATTAAAAATAATACAGTCTGCAGAGAAGATTCAATAGATGTTATCAGCACTTTCAAATATATTAACCATAAAATGCAATTTTAAAGAAGATGGCAGGCAATTTTAGAGGAAAAAATAAAAAATAAGACCATTTTGAAAAAACACACCCTTCATAAAAATACCAATGATACAGTATTTGAGACAGATATAAATATATGAATACATACCAAGAGCAATTATTTAGCTTATGCTATTTTTTAATGACTGGATGATCAATATAAAAAGTTTTTAATGTGGTTTAATATTTATTTTTGAGGTTTATAGTATATAATAAAGCTAATTTCTTAGTTAATAAAAATTTCAAAAAAATACATATTATTTTAATTATTTTGAGTATCCCCTCCCTTTACTCTCGAAAGTATTCCAGTACAGGCCATACTTTCAATGGTCATCCTACTAATAAGTTACTATAATGGACAAGATGATAGGAATGAGATATTGAGAGCAAAGGCAATGTGATATGCCATCCAGGTTCTATAGGTTTGGAATATGACATTCCTTAGTGACTAAATAGCTTACTCTAATAGATTGCTCTTTATCCCAAAGTAAAATCTGTCACACAAAGCATGTTTATAGTATTGCCATGAACACACTGCCCAGCTGCAGAAAGAAAACATTACTAATATGTACTATTTCATGTTCCCCTTTCCAGTTGCATCTCCCTCCCCAAGAGAAGTAGCCATTGTACTAAATTTTGAAGTAATCATTCTCTCGCTTTCCTCCACAATTTTACCTTAAATGTACATATCCTTAACAGTTCTAGTTTTGCCCTTTTTTTGCCCTTTATATAAACGGACTCATAGAGTATGTATCCTTCTGTGACTTGTTATTTTTTACTCAACATTGTTTTCAGTTGATGCTTAGAGCTATACTTCTCTTATTTTCATTTCTATATATTCCATGGTATAAATGAATATTTGAGTTACTTGTAGTCTGTCCCTCTCTATTGTTCTGCTATAAACAATCCTGTTACCTATTTCCTGGTGTCGGGGGAAGAGGGAGAATCTCCCTCTGCCCTTTTCCTTAAGGTTCTTATGGCTGGCCAAATAATTAACAAGACAGGTTAGCAGGAGAAAATAATACCAAGTTTAATAACATGTATACATGGGAGAAACTCAGAAATGAGCAACTCGTCCCTCTGTCTAAGCTGTTTGCTTAAGTATTGCAGCTAAAGGCGAGGAGCGTGTTGGGGGTGGGTAGTGGCCTGGGACTTCAGAGGGCAGGAGGACAATTCTTTTCAGGGTCATCTATAGATAATGTGGTCAGGGAGAGACAGAGTTTTTGATAAAAGGGGCTTGGTGCCTTTCCTATTGTAACCTCTATCCTACATTATCTTTACAGCCATCATGATAGAAGATCTGTTCCAGGAAGGAGCCACCATGTCAAATTCTTTAGGCAGTTAGTGGGGGAGGTCAAATGTCCTTCAGAGAAAACAATCAAGGTAAAGAGATATATTTCAGGGTGGCCAAATCTTGATCTCCCACACTGGTATACACGTGCAAGAGTTTCTCCAAGTTGTTCAAACCTAGAAATGGAATTGCTGGGAAAAGGGTAGGGTACTACTCAACTTTACTAAGTAACAAACTATTTTCAAAGTGGTTGTATCAATTTACATTCCTAGAAGATTCAGGACATGACAATTCATGTTGCTCATCCTTGCTAATTGTTGGTATTATCAGAGTTTTTTTATTTTTGGTCATTCTGGTAGATGTAAAATGTTATTTCACTGTGGTTTTAATTTGCATTTTGCTGAATGATGATGAGGTTGAGCATCTTTTCATATGTTCATTGGCCGATGGTGTTCCTTTCGTGTAAAGAATCTGTTACCCATTTCAATATCATGTTGTTTATCTTTTTTTTTTTAATAGATGCTCTTACTATATTCTGGATACTAATCTTTGTCAGTTATATGGAAAAAATCTCTTCTTTCATTTTCTCTCAACTCCTACTAGTTTTTCTAGGGGGAAATGTTTCTAAGTGTTTTTCATTTAATTTTTTAAGAAATTTACTTCTTTGGCTTATTTTTTCCTTTTCAAAACAATGGAAAGGCATTTTCTTCAGATTCAGATTATAAAATTTTGCCAAGAGGCAAGAACTTCCAGGCAATATACCAAAGTTTCCCAGATGCTTCAATTCTGCTTCAACAAAAAGCCAACAACTGGTGTTCCTCCCACCTAATGTTGCTCAAAACTTACCAATAGCATTCCTTCAGCAGGTCTTCACATTCTCAGAGTCTCTAGTTTATTATACCTTCCCTCTCAACTCATCCTTTACTGAGGAATATCCATATACCGACAAACTTCCAAGTGTTAGCAAGAGAAGCTCAGAAACTCCCTAGGAAGGGAAGCTCTGGAAGTGGTGCTTTCTGTCCTAGGGATAACACGTCCTTCTCTCTTGCTTGTCCTTTGACATCTGTCTACTGGAAGTAGAAAAAATTCTGAATGGTGAAGAGGTGAAAACAGTGTGCTAGAAAAGTATTTTATTTTATTTTATTTATTTATTTATTTTTTTAATTTTATTTATTTATTTTTTCCCCCAAAGCCCCAGGAGACAGTTATATGTTATAGCTGCACATCCTTCCAATTGCTGTATGTGGGACCCGGCCTCAGCATGGCCAGAAAAGCGGTGCGCCTGTGCGCGCCCGGGATCCGAACCCCGGGCCGCTAGTATCAGAGCGCGCGCACTTAACCGCTAAGCCACGGGGCCGGCCCTAGAAAAGTATTTTAAATCTACACTGTGTCCACAGGAATTTTTCTTAACCCCCAAGCTAATGTAATATACTTCATAAAAAGCAACAAAGATAATTTACACAGCACAGGAATAGATTTTTAAGCATGATGCTCTCATAGTCATAAAAAAAAAGTGTGTATATAAGCAAAACTTAGTTTTGCCAGATAAGGCTTGCCAGGCAAACCTTAAGGAAGAAGTAGAAAAAAATTTAATTTGAAATTGTGGTATGATCAGACTGTTTACTTCTTCATCCTTAATTCACTTTCTAGAGCAGTGGTTTTCAAGTTTTAGAGTGAACCAGAATGCCCTGGAGGGCTTGTTGGGATACTGACTTCTGGGCCCCACCCCCAGTTTCCTGATTGAGAAGGTCTGGGGCAGGACTGAAAATGTGCATTTCTAACACGCTCCCAGGGGGTGCTGATGTGGCTGGTCAGGAAGTAGGCTTTGAGTGCAACTGCTCTGGAGGAGCTCACTTCCTAAGTTCTGACAACTAGGTCTCATAACACTCTGTGGCAGTCTATCTTGTCCTACTCACAGGCTGAAGAACTTTGTTAAGATAGTCCCCAAAGTCTACGGGCTGTTGCCATGGTATGCTTTCCTTTTCACTCTGCCACTGCTTCACTGGACTTCAGTTAATAGAGACTATACTCAGGGCATCGGGAAACTCCTGGAATATTCTGGGCCAAAAGCCTTCATTCCATTAACCAACCTCCTTTCCATTTATTACTTATCTTTAGAATCCTCCTTAGTTTTCAAACTGGACTTCCAGGACCCTGCTAACTTTCAGATAGATTCTCAGCCATCTCATTTCATGAGATGTTTTACATTTCAGCTTTCTATTTGGACAATTTAAAAAAATTAATAGCCATATTCTAGATCTTTTGGATCACTTAAAATGAAGCACTGTTGTGAGATTTCAGATGCCATGTTTACATTTACATTTATCATTGCACCAGCACTGGGCAGAAGTGCTTTAATTGTTCTAAACGAATACAGAGGCAGTCTTAATACCTAAGAGATGCATTTGCACAAATGGAGACAAACCACTACGTAACCAAACGTTTCCCTGAGATTCAAACATAGAAAAGTGGTGGGAGAGTTAAGTTTG